CTGGATTATACAAGTCTCCACTGACATATAATTCAGTTTAAATCTGATAAACTGGATTTTATATGGAAGTTTAGAAGGGGCTGAGATGAATGACTGAAGACTTCTCCAACTTTCAATCTGAAGACTGTAATTAGATGTACATGCACTGGTTTGAATAATATTTTCTTTCCTCCTCATCTTTGCTACAAATCCAGTCACTTATATACCCACCGCCAAGACACTACACTTGAAAGGCCTTCATACTTAGACAACTAGGAATCGCCTAAGAAACCCAGTTTTTTGAAGAGTTCTGAGCAACAGTGTGGTTTGTAACCTCTGAGGTATTGTGCTAATATAGGCTCCTTCCACACAGCTGTATAAAATCCACATTGAACTATTATTATATGAACTACTATTATATGGCAGTGTGGCTTCAGAGTTCAAAGCAGATAGAGGATTATCCGCATTGATATTCTTGGTTATATGGCTGTATGGAAGAGCCCACAGATTTGGCATTCAACTTTTGGCAAATACAACTAGCTGTACTGGGAGGATAGATATTTTATTCAATGTTATCTTAGGCCCCTTCTACACTGCTATATAAAATCCAGATTATCTGCTTTGAACTAGATTATATGGAAATGTAGACTCATATAATCCAGTTAAAAGCAGATGGTGTGGATCATGTGCTTTGCTAATCTGGATTATATGGCAGTGTAGAAGGGGCATCAGGGCCCCTACACAAAGCCATATAACCCAGAATATCAAAACAGAAAATTCCACAATATCTGCTTTGAACTGGAGCCCCTTCTACACAGCATAATAAAATCACATATTTTCTACTTTAAACTGGAATATATGGTAGTGTGGCCTCAGATAACCAGTTCAAAGCAGATATTGTGAGATGATATGCCTTGATATTCTGGGTTATATGGCTGTGTGGAAGGGCCCTAAGTTAACTGAGTCCACATTACCATATAGCCCAGTTCAAAATATATAATGTGGGACTTTATTCAGCTGTGTGGAAGGGGCCTTAGAGGCACACTCATTAAAATGGGGGAGGGGTCTCCTTTTAAGGAATCCATTCACACAGGTTTGCAGATATAAACTCTACTGTACACAAAAAATCACTCAATCTTTCACCAACAAGATCCTCAACCAGACTGAAGTTATATCTGTGAACTCGAGATCCAAAATTGTGCACTTCTGAGTACCACTATTTGCATACCAAAATAACTATCATATATTCCAGGTAACTTTTAATTACTGCAACTAACACAAACTGCATGGTTTACCATAGATTTCAGTTTGTGAAGGGTGTGCAGATTGACTTAATTCACAAAACTCCTTTGTGAAAATTAAGGTGTAGGGTACAAAAATATTCAGAGACATCACAAAAATCTGCTTCAGTTACATAAATACTAAATAGTATTTCAGTAAAAGTATAGCTGAATAAGTATGGTTTATTAAGTATCCTGATAAGCACTAAGTATTTCCTTTATAGGACAATGTTTTCTACAGTTGTCTGATGAACATTTAGGACTCAACATCAAGGACTTAAGACAGCATCAATGACTGAAAGAATCATGCAATCCTAAAATGAAATTTCTGACAGAAATGACCCTTGGTGATACAAAGCATTCAAACTTTTACTTCACATGAGAAGTTTAAGAAAAGCAGTAACCATCTTTAAACATTTTAAACATTTAAACATTTATCCAACCTGTGCTGTGGGTAGAAAACACAGTAAGTACCTGCAACTTCTTCTAAAAACTTTTTCCAAAAAGTGTATGAAGGGGAAAGAAATCCCTGCATACATTTAAAAAAACTATGTCCAAAGAGTAATGTCAGATTCCTCTGCTAGGAGTATGAATACCTGCTGGATTCTTTTTTCCAAATAATAAATGCCTGTATAGTTTTTATAACTGTGCAAGTTAGGTTCAGATCACTTTCTCCTCCATCTTTTGGAAAGAATTTTAAAACAGACTTAAACTGTATGATGACTACAGAATTGGTGCAATGTTCAATACATTTTATGATGTTTTAATATGCTTTAATATGTTTTAATATGCTTAATATGTTTTAATTGTTTTTATTTGTATTTATATGTTTATTGATTTTTAGTTAACTATGTCATGTATTGCTTTTTTCTTATGTATGTGATATTTAATTTTGCCAAATTGTAAACTGCTCTGAGTCCTCCTCAGGGTGAGATAGAGTGGGATAGAAATATAATTAGTTAATTAATTAATTAATTAAGACTGATGGGGGGAGGGCAGACAAGTTGGTTAGAAGTGAAATGTGATGACTGACTAGCTCTTTTCCTCAAGTATTTTGCTGAAGATTTCAAAAGTTCAAAGCCTTTCACACCAATGTTAATTACACTGCAAAACTGAAATGCCCCCAGTCCCTAGCAAAAATAACCTACAGCCTTGTGTCAGAAGCTTACATGCCTCTTTTGTAAATTATTAGTATTTCAGTTGGTAGAAACACAGGCTGCATTGCATGACATCAACTACCTGGGATGTTTAGTAGTCCAGTGTAAACTATAAATAAAGGACCCTACCACACAGCTGAATAAAATACCACATTTTCTGCTTTGAAGTGGGTTATATGGCAGTGTAGATTCAGGGCCTTTCCACACGGCCCTACATCCCAGAATATCAAGGCAGAAAATCCTATAGTATCAGCTTTGAACTGGGTTATCTTAGTACACACTCAGATAATGTGGGATTTTCTGCCTTGATATTCTGGGATATAGGGCTGTGCGGAAGGGCCCTCAGATAATCCAGTTCCAAGCAGATACTGTGGGATTTTCCAATTTGATATTCTGGGTTATATGGCTGTGTGGAAGGGCTCAAGCAATTTAAGAATGACAGATTATGGAATCACAGGGTAACTACAATTATTTATCATAGTATTATTTTAAAAGACAGTGAGTAAAGAAATCTTCCCTATGGGGAGCATCTGTAGAATTAATGTAATTTACACTGACTGGTATGGCTGAGGGTCCTTCCACACAGCCATATAACCCAGAATATCAAATTGGAAAATCCCACAATATCTGCTTTGAATTGGGTTATGTGAGTCCACACTGCCATATATTCCAGTTCAAAGCAGAAAATGTGGGATTTTTTTCAGCTGTGTGGAAGGGGCCTCAGTGCTATGAAATTCTGGGATTTGTAGTTTGATGAGATACTAGTATTCTTTGGTTGAGAAAGCTAAAGACTTGGGGACCTTCTACACAGCCCTATATCCCAGAGTATCAAGGCAGAAAATCTGCTTTGAACTGGGTGATCTGAGTCCACTCAGATAATGTGGGATTTTCTGTCTTGGTATTCTGAGAAATAGGGCTGTGTGGAAGGGCCCTTTGTAAAAGTACAACTCCTAGGTTTTCACAGCATTGAGCTAAGGCTGTTAAACTGGTGTCAAACTGCATTAATTCTACAACGGAATATGTATTCTACTCAAAGCAGAGAGTGATGAACTACAATTTATAGTTACAATGCATTGTTGTTGTTGTGTGTCTACATCTGCAAACTTGAGAAAACGCTTGCAAAAGTTTGCTGCCAGGGTGGAACAAGGCTCCATCCCCACTGACCACTGAATGCAGTTTCAAACCGGAACTGAAGAAAGCGGTTTCGCTGTGCAGATGATTACATGGTGGGAAAAATACAGAACCAGCCTGAGGCCCAGGCGGTGATTACACGAACTGGGGGAGCACGGGGGCACATTCAGGGCTTGCTTTGGCGCACTTTTGCCGGAGTTTGTGGCCTGGCCGCGGCAGTTTGGAAACTGGCTCCGAACCGCGTTCCCTGCCCAGTATGGATTGGGGGGAGACTCGAGTCCCGTCCCCCAAAAGGCCTGGCTCTGTGGCGAGAGGAGACGCAACTCCAACGCAAACAAAGGACCCCTTGCGTCCCGCCAGCGACCCAGGCCAGGGCTCCGGCCTTCCCTCTGCGGAGCCCTCGAGGCGGGCCCGTGTTTACAAAACAACCACAACAAAACCCTTCCACGCCGCCGGTGTCTCCCAAGTTTCCTACCCACGAAAAACTCGCCAAAGAGGAGGCAGGCGAGCAGGCCTGCTTGGTGGCGGGAGCCTCCAGATCCCTAGGCCGCAAAGCCCGCCGCCGCTGGGAGCCTCTGCGCATGTACAAAGGGCAAGCCTGGTCCCTAGGTGCCTTACCCTGAGGCCTAAGGAGGCGGGGAGCTCGGATGCGGGCATAAAGGACCGCCGCCGCCGCCACTGCCACTGGAGTCGAGAAAGACGGGAGCGAGGCCTCCTTCCCCTTCGGAAGCCAGGGAAGGCAGGCCGGCCTCGGGGCTCCTTCCTCCTCCTCAAGCACTGCGCTTCCGAGCGGCCTTCCCCGCTTCCCCCTTCCCCTCAGGCATCCCTCCTCCTCCTCCTCCCCTTCCTCTCTTTCTCTTCCTTCCCTCAGAGAGACAAAAGCAAACGGAAGCGGCCCGGCGGGACCAGGCCGGCCTTGAGCGCCTCTACCCGGGCAGGCGCCTGCCAGAAGCCCCCCTTGGCTGCCCGCCGCTTCCCTGAGGAGGCTTCGAGCCGAGCCGCGGCGCCGGAGAGGGCGAAAGAATAACAGGGCCGCACTCACCGCATGAATTTTCTTGTCCCGAGGATCCAAGATGGCTGAGCACCCCGCACGGAGGATGCTGGGGGAGCGACCTTTGCCCTCTGACCCCGACGCTGCCGGCGTGACCTCGACGTCGCCGTCCGGCGGCCACGGGAGACGGCGCCTCCCCTCCCTCGCCGGCCTCGCCGAGGGAGAAGGGCCCTCGCTTACGGCCTCGCAAGGAAGGAAGGAAAGAAGGAAGCAAGGAAAGGAGGGCCCCGGGCCTGGCCTCAGAGCGGCCTCGTGGGAGTCGAGAAGAGAGCCTCAGACATCCGGGGAAAGGGAGGGAGGGAAGGGGCCTCTCTTCCACTGAGAAGGAGGGACGGAAGGAAGGAAAGAGCGAGGGAGGGAGGGGCCTTTTTCAAACATAAACACACACCTCGGTTGCAGCCCCATAGCCCAAAATATCAAGGCAGAAAATCCCACAGTGTGGACTCAGATCACCCAGTTCAAAGCAGACATCGTGGGATTCTCTGCCTTGATATTCTGGGATATAGGGCTGTGTGGAAGGTCTTATTATTATTTATTTATTATTATTTATTTTATAAGGTCTACAGCCTTCTCGGCCAAAGAATACTAGCATCTCACCAAACTACAAATCCCAGAATTTCATAGCACTGAGGCCCCTTCCACACTGCTGAAAAAAATCCTACATTTTCCGTTTTGAATAGGAATAAATGCCAGTGTGGATTCAGATAACCCAGTTCAAAGCAGATATTGAAGGATTATCTGCCATGATTTTCTGGGATATAGGGCTGTGTGGAAGGGCCTTCAGAATATCAAGGTAGGAAACCCCACATTCTCTGAGTGTGGACTCAGATAACCCAGTTCAAAGCAGATATTGTAGGATTTTCTGCCTTAATATTCTGGGATATAGGGCTGTGTGGAAGTGCCCTGAGTCCACACTCAGATAATGTGGGATTTTCTGCCTTGGTATTCTGGGATATAGGGCTGTGTGGAAGAGCCCCTTGACTCAGAGGCTCTCAGCACTATCTATTCCGAGGGCCCTTTCACACAGTCTTATATCCCAGAACATCAAGGCAGAAAATCTCACAATATCTGCTTTGAACTGGTTTATCTGAGTCCACACTCTGATAATGTGGGATTTTCTACCTTGATATTTTGGGAAGGGCCCTAAATTCCCTTCCAAATGGCCATATCACCCATGATTTCAAGGCAGTTCAGTCACAGTATCTGCTTTGAACTGGGTTATCTGAGTCCACACTGCCAGATGATCCAGTTCAAAGCAGATAGTGTGGAATTTTATTCAGGGCCCCCAGAATATCATAGAATCATTGAGCTGGAAGAGACCTCATGAACAGTTCTCACATTTAGGAAGTTCTTCCTCATGTTCAGGTGGAATCTCCTTTCCCGAAGTTTGAATGATATTATTATTATTATTACTACAACTATTTTTGTACCCAGCCTCTATGTCCCCGAAGGAACTCGAGGCAGCTTGCATACAGCACAATGTGCCTAAAACAATGCATAAAATAAACAATGCAATAAAAGATAAAACCAATAGCATATAAAACAATTTCAACTCAACCTATGGTGAGAACTGTTGTAAAACATCGCCAACTGTATACAGGAACAAGGGAATAGGATAGTGCAAGTTGTAGCTCATTGCAGCCATTGTTCCACGCCCTAGTCTCCGGGGCAGCAGAAAACATGCCTACTCCCTACTCCCTATTACTTCCCCTCACATATTTGTACATAATCATCATGTCTCCTCTCAGCCTTCTCTTCTGCAGGGTAAACATGCCCAGCTCTTTAAGCCGCTGATCATCAAGGCAGATCATTCACAATATCTGCTTTGAACTGGGTTACATAAGTCCACACTGCCAGAACTTCTATGTGGATTTTATACAGCTTTGTGGAAGGATCCTGAGAAGATTTCCCTTCTCGTCTTTGCCCCACAAAACAAGCATTTTCAACCCTGATGGAATTCCAGTAAGAACTTCTTCGCCCTTTCTTCTACATGGTGTCTTTTCAGGCCATTTATATAGGCATGTGTAGTGAAATCTACCTTTAAGGCGACCAGGCCGAAGCCTGAATATCAGTAGCTTTCATCTTGAAAGACAGGCTGAGGCAGGAGGAGGAGTCAAGCTGACTCCTGATTGGGTAGAGCAATTAGGGGAGGAGTCGGTTGAGAGAGGGAAAAAGGTTGTCAGCTCTTGACAGAGAGGGGGAGAAGGGTCTTGATATCAGAGACGGAAGGATAGGATTTTAGGAGAGGAAGCTAGATAGAGTTCTGACAGGGAAGAAGAGTTTTTAAAGTGAGCCTTAAGGTTAGGGAATAAGGTTGAGACAAAGGCTAGGGTTTTACTGAGTTGAGAGGACCAGTAAAGGAGAGTTTTGTCTTATTAAACTTAGGAGAAGTTTAAGATACCTTATTGCCCTGTGTGTGAGACAGACAAGAGTCTGTTCTCTAGGGATACTGTTTCTAAGAATAGAACAGTGTGTTTAAGGAATCTCACAGTTTTAAAAGCTTTTTGGTCAGTAGAACTAACTGTTTAATTCCACTAAGTCTCTGCAACTGAATTACGCTTCTGTACCGCTCATTCTATGAGTAGATGTTTGTTTAAAGCTCAATAAACTTTTTCTAGTTCACTTTTAACTGGTGTCAGCTTCAGTTTGTCAAGCACTTTTAAAGTCCAGTCAGCCAGTTAAAAAGCAGTTATAGGAGACCCAGGGCAAACACACCTTACCTACAACACATTCACACCTTTGATTCCTCAGACCAATAAAGCTGAGGTGGTGGCGGCTAATACTACCAATAACTTCGGTCATTGATATATTCAACTTATGGTCAGCCTTAATTTTACTACAGCATGCTTGTTTAATTTATATGCCACTTTTCAGTGGGACCCTAGGAGGCTTCTAAAAATGATAGTCCTCGAGTGACAAACACCTGACTTACAAACTACTCATAATTAAGAATGGGTGAGACAACAGGGAGGGCAGTCTATCCTTAGGAAGGAGAAGGGAAGGGCAATTCACTCCTGAAAGAGTGATAAGGGAAAAAGGTATCTCCATTGGAGCTTTATCACCGATCCTTGTCTCCACAACAAGCCACATTTTCCAAAATCCAGAAAGGGAGGTGGAATCTTCTCAACAGCGGCACAGACAGCAAAACAGACCCCACACAGGTGTTGACCCCTATGCTATCCAAAGCTTATATATGTGTGTGTGTATTTGGCTGGAGTTATACTTTTAAAAAGTACATGTTCCAACAAAATAAACTTGAGAACAAACCTTCAGGACCAATGCTTTTCATAATTTGGAGACTGCCTGCAAATTATTATTTTTTTACCCTACATGTTAAACATACACACCAAAACAGCCTGTCTTCAGAGGAGGTGAAATTCAAGTAGTAAGAATCCCTTCACCACAGGAGTTTATGTGTGCTTTCTTACCTGTAGTAGCTTTTCAGACCATTTGTATGGCACTATATATATGAGAGGCTTTCCTGTTTTTCTTTAATTTACTTGTACATGCTGCTATTTGGAAAAACAGTATATTAAAACCATTTGCCTACAACTTTAAAAAAGAAATAAAATCCTACCAGAATACATTTTAAAATACATTTTAAATACAATAATCAAAAGTTTAGTAAAAGAGTAGTAAAACACCCCCAATAAACCCACCCCACCTCTTTACTAAAAGCTTGGGAGGGACCTTTAACAAGCACAAACCAACACTGTAGTAAAGGCGGGGAGGTACCTCTTCTCTCTGCCCCTCACAAAACAGACAGGTTGAAATTCCAGTAATACCCTCTTCACCACAAGAGTTTGCTGTCTTTTAAGGTGATTTCTATGTGGTTATTTTTCTCTGTGCTTTCCATGTTTGTTAATGTATATGCCTCCTTTCAGAGCGAGACTACAATTAAAATCCTATTATGATACATTTTAGAATCAATTTAAAATATTCAGTAATTGGATAAGATGGGTAAAACATGCCCGACCAAAAACCCCCCACCTTATAGCCTAAAAAGCTTGGAAGGTACCTTTTTACCATTACCAACACAGGGAGCCATAGCTGCCCTGGCTAAGAAGCCATCTCTTCTCTCCTTATTTCCCCAAAACAGTCTGTTTTCAGACATGATAAAATTTTAGTAACAATTAAAATTGTGTCATAATACATTTTAAAACCAACTTAAAATAGTTTAATAACATTAGTGAAACATGTTCCACAAAAAGCCACTCCACATTATATAACATTAGCTTGGTGGGTATCTTTTGCAAGCACAAACACACACCTTGCCTGTAGACAGCAAGGCCACCCTTGGATCATGTAGTAAAGGTTTGTCTTTCACAAAACAGGCTTTTTCAGACATGATGAAATTCCAACATGGGAGTAATATCCCCTTCCCCAGAGGAATTTTCTTGCCCTTGTCAAATGTTGTGTCTTTTTAAGTGATTTATATATAGTTATATTTATGTGTGTTTCCCCAGGATTTTTTTAATGTACTGTTTTGCTTTCAAAATAGAATAAATTAAAAGCATTAGCTATTTAATTAAAAATATAATTAAAATTATATTATAATAACATTTTAAAATCAGTTAAAATATACATTTAATTTGATTAGTAAAGCATACCCCATAAAAAGCCACCCCACCGTATGTACAAAATTTTTGGTTAAATAAAAATGCCTGCCGACAAAAGGACAACAGGAAGGGAGTTTTAAAGGTGGGAGTAGCCATTAAAAAGGCTCTTTTCCTGCCCTCACCAAGACAACTGGTGATAGTGATGGGACCAAAATATAATCTTGCCCTCAGTATCTTAGTGGCACATTTAGGGTTCTTTGTGCTAAGAGTCTGGATGTTTATGGTGCATTCTTCAAACACAAATCTGTTCCATTTGCTTCAGGGATGCATATTTGTAAACCTGGTTTATGTCCCTTCCCCCCAAAAGCGAAGGGTTTGCAGTGAACCAGGAGAAGGGTTGTACAAATGTGTGATATATTCAATGCTCTTCTGTTTAAGGAAATCATTTTAGAACTGGTCTAGGGCATTTCTACTGAAAGGAGTGCTGATGTCAGTTCCCAAGTGATTAACTGCCAGTTCCCAAAGAATTTCCAGGAAAGAAAAAAAAAGTTGCAGCCAGTTTGCATAAATTCAGTTCTGCACAGCATTCCACACTCAGGGAACTGCATTTGAACAAGGCCTTTAGAGGGTTGTCCCAACTGAAAAAGAAAGTTAAAACCAAACCTGCTGAAGGTATACTAAACCCTATTTAGCCTATGAATGTTAGAAATTACTTGGGGCAGCCGTAGGTTAACTGTTCTGGCATTGTGGCGATATTGTGGACTCAGTTGTTACTCCCTTGTCCCACCCGCTTCTTCATTACTTTTTGGTTCTTCTGCTGTTAAATTTGCTTTGCCAACAGACATCTTAAATCTGATTACACTTGTGCCTAATCCTACTCTAGTATAGCTGGTGCATCTCTTAGTAAGAATTGCACTGGTACGCTATTTGTATATAGTAATAGCAATCCAGAAGCTTCCTAAACTGCAGATCCCACATGTTATAATGATACTTGCCAGTTACCCATCTCAGCTTAAATGAGACACCATTGTGACGTAGGTAACTTTTTGCTCAACTGCTAACATGGCAGAGGGGAAATTTAGCTACAGTATCACTAAAAGAGGGAGTAAAGCAAAATGCTATCAGTCCTCACCCACCCAAATATATGATTCTTCCATTAATATAGTTTTGAAGGGAAGGTGCAAACCAGTCAACTTGGACAAACATGGGTAAAAGTGTGTCTGCAATGGTTGCTGCCAATACAAAAGCAAAATTTCATCCTATCAAAATAGAATAGGGACTGAAGCAATGACAACCCACAGTACTCTTCTATTTCCCCCTGTCCTACACAGAGAAATATATAGAAGTAACTGGCAGATTATAAACCAGAGAGATGCCATTAATTTGCCCAAAAAGAAGTTTGAATAATTTTCCACACATTTGTTATTTACAAAGCAAATTCCGTTTATGATTATGACGTGTAGATTGTTACAGTATATTCTAGATCAGCAGTTCACAAAGTGAGCTCTGCGGAGCCCTTGGGGTCCCTCATTCCCCAAAGCATTTTTTTTCATTCATCCCCCACCCCCAGATCCTTTCTTCCTCCCTCTCCCCTTTGCTTGCTTCAAAAACCCTATTTCCCTCCCACCACTCAGGGGGTACTTTGATTGTGCTTTTCCTATATGGCAGAAGGGGCTTGGACTGGATGGCTCCCGGGGTTTCTATTGTTGTTGTTGATGTTGTTGTTAATGTTATTGCTATTACAAAGTCTGAGTTGCCATCTTTTGGGATGCTTTGATTGTGCTTTTCCTACGTGAAGCCCCTGGTGGCGCAGTGGGTTAAAGCGCTGAGCTGTTGAGCTTGTTGACCGAGGTCGCAGGTTCAATTCCGGGGAGCGGCATGAGCTTCTGCTGTCAGCCCTAGCTTCCGCCAACCTAGCAGTTCAAAAACATGCAATGTGAGTAGATCAATAGGTACCGCTCCGGCGGGAAGGTAACAGCGCTCCATGCAGTCATGCCGGCCACATGACCTTGGAGGTGTCTATGGACAACGCTGGCTCTTCGGCTTAGAAATGGAGATGAGCACCACACCCCAGAGGCAGACATGACTGGACTTAATGTCAGGGGACAACCTTTACCTTTTTTTTACATGGCAGAAGGGGGTTGGACTGGATGGCCTCTAGAGTCTTTCACTGAAGCATTTTTAAGTTTATGTTGATCAAAGCGTTTGCTGATGCTTGATACATATACATTATATAAAATATAATATATAATGTAATATATAAACATTTATTGGGGCTCCATGAGAAACCTTTGCTTCAAAGAGGGCTCCACAGAGGAAAAAGTTTGAGGACCCCTGTTCTAGATAAATGTGTGCTAGCCATTTGTGAAGCTTGTTTTCAAAAAGTACCTAATGAAAAAAATAAGTTATAGGAGGCAGCACATTGTTGGCTAGAAGTAGAATATTATGTACAGATCAAAACATGCCAAATCGCTTTGGTACAAGGCATGGAAAATTGTATTTTATAGCAAATGAATGCATATCTTCAGCTCATTTTTTCGATTCCTGTAAAATTTGCTCACATGGATTTGGTATCTTTTGGAGTCAAGCCCCACATTTGTATTTACCTATAACTAAATCATTTAAACCTTATATGTGATGTCCCCTACTTACTGCGGTTGCAATTCCTGTACACACCTGGGAACAAGTCCTATTACACACAGCAAGACCTTGTGGGTAGACACAGACAGGATTGTACTGTATGTGCCTGAGGGTTATGCAAGTTGAGAGACACACATGGCTCATCAAAGTGCTTGAGAAGATTCTCATACTGGCACATTTAATTTATCATGATAGAAAACTACCTTCAGTGTTTTTGCAAATGCTCAAGCAGGCACTGTTAAGCATGCTAACAATTAGTGGTGTTCTTAAAGTGCTTTTTTTAACAGCATATGTGATTTGAGACATTATATCCTGATAGCAGTTTAAGATTTGCACAAAACAAATAATTCATTGTGCCCCAAGCATGAGCTATCAGGTTGGTGGATGCCATGGCAACCTGTAGCTGAGGTGGCAACTGTCTCTGGATTTT